TGGTACAAGTGCCCATATAGGATGCCAGCATGGCAAGCAGGAGCTCTACCTACCTGCTACAGCACAACACTGGCCCCTCATGCTTTTATGCGTGTGTGTGTGTGTGTGTGTGTTTGATTGGCCCACAATCTTATGAAAGGGCCGTTACTTATTTAACATAAACAGTGTCCTTCACAGCTAATTCTCAAGTAAACCTTACGTTAGCAACTGTGACTCAGGGTAGAAAGTAATGTGTGATTTAAGAAGTGCGGGTGAGGGGGGAGTTTTGGGAAAACAAGATTATTTCTAGCCACGTGGTAAATCCAAGAACACTAGCAATGGAAAAAGAGGTGGAATTTGACTTCGGTATTATGGGCAGGCTGCTGGCCCTGCAGGTGGCTGCGCTCGGTCCCTGTCGCCCTGTCTTCTTGTAAGAGCCCCAGATGGGAGGCCGCACTTGGCAGTGTCACCGAGACTTCCTGCAGATCACGCCCCCCGACCCGCCGAGGTGGGGGTCTCGCACAGAGGGCGCAGGCTGCATTCAGACTGGCGTTCTGCTGGGGCATTCTCTTCCCACTTCTCTTGGGGCATTGCTGTGTTCATGGGCAACTTAGTTCACGGGGGCCCCCCCCGCCGGGCAGCTCTCCCTGTGGTGTGCTCAGGGGAGGACACGACTTGTGCCATGCCAACAACTGGCTGCTCCCAGTGCCTGCTTCTACGTTGCTTTCTTCTTTCAGCCACACAGACTTTCCGTGTTTGTCCTTGGGCCCTTGTACACACAGAGGTGACTGTCTACCTTCCTGTGTGTCAAGTCTACATCAGTGTTGGCCAACAAAAAAATGAGAGTACTTCTGACAGCTTGTGGGAAATGGGATTACAACATTGATTTGGGTGCCAAAATCTTTTTAACTTATTTGAAAGAAAAAAAAAACAATAGGAAAGAAGGAAACAAGGGTTAGAGTGAGAGAGAAAGAGATCTTCTATCTGCTGGTTCACTCTCCACGTGGCCCCAATGGGTAGCGCAGCGCTGGCTGAAGCCTGGAGCTTCTGGGTTGCCCGAATGGATGCAGGACCCCAAGCACTTGGGCCATCTTTTGCTGCCTTCCCAGGTACACTAGTACGGGACTGAATTGGAAGTGGAAAAGTCAGGACATGAACCAGGGCCCATATGGGATGCTGGGAGTTACAGGCAGCATTTTTTTTTAACCCACTATGCCAAATGGTCCTGGTTCAAAACTGTTTGAAAATCCATACATGGGCCTGGCGCAGTGGCCTAGCGGCTAAAGTCCTTACCTTGAACGCGCCAGGATCACATATGGGCACTAGTTCTAATCTCGGCGGCCCCACTTCCCATCCAGCTCCCTGCTTGTGGCCTGGGAAAGCAGTCAAGGACAGCCCAAAGCCTTGGGACCCTGCACCTGTGTGGGAGACCTGGCGGAAATTCCTGGATCCTGGCTTCAGATCGGCACAGCACTGGCTGTTGTGGTCACTTGGGGAGTGAATCCTTGGACAGAAGATCTTCCTCTCTGTCTCTCCTCCTCTCTGTATATTTGACTTTCCAATAAGAATAAATAAATCTTTAAAAAAAATGAAAGAAAATCCATACATAGGAGGTGTTCTTCAAGATGTTCTTGAAAAATGCATGCTGTGCGAAAATGATACATGATCTAAATCAATTTCCATGAATATTTTGAAGTACCCTTGCATTTTAACACAACATTATCAGAAATACAGTTGGTATCTTGGCTGCAGATAAAAAGCTGCTGCCTGGGATTCATGCATCCCAGATCAATGTGCTAATATGAGACTCAGCTGTTCTGCTGGGTACCTGGTACTCACATGGGAGATGCAGACGGAGTCCCGGGCTCCTTACCTTGCCTTGGCCCAGACTGGCTGCTGCAAAGTTACAGACTGGAAATTCTGTGCTTCATTGTGCCTTTCAAGTAAATGAAAATAAGTGAGACAATATGTTTTTAAACATTACATTGAACTGTAAAAGTAGGTTGGAGGTGAATCACACTGAAGGCTCATTCCCAACCCATGCTGAGTTTGGACTTGATTCAGTAGTCCTTTAGCCTCAGGGAAGGAATTTCACCAGGGGGAGTGATGTGATTGGCTGTCTACTTTTAGAATGCACTGGTGGCAGGTATGAAAAAGGACCACAGGCCCAGGGGCAAATGAGACGAATTAGGAAACTGAAGTGGGTTAGTGGGCAGGAGAGGCAAGCCCGAGGAGGATGGTAATGCCATAAATAGGGCGTTTCTGGGTTAGTTTTCTGATTTGGGACCAGAGTTGTGGAACTCTTTGCCCCAGTGATTTCCATCACAGTGCTGGGCATAGTTCAGAGCTGATGATTTTGTGACACCCAAGTCAGGTGGTCTCCTCCTATCCCCACACCCTGGGAGCCAAGGGCTGAAGGACCCCCTTCTTCTGTCTGAAATGGCTCCCTAAACGGTGCTTGCCGAATTCCTGAGGACTTGCCTGCAATGCTCCTTTTGTCCTTAGGCCAGGCTCCATTCTTTTTTCTTTTTAAGATTTTATTTATTTGAACCATTCCAGAGAGAGGGTTCATCCCCCAAATGGCCACATTGCCTGGATTTGGGAGTGTCCAAAGAGAGCAGTCAGGAACTTCTCCATCTCCAAGGGCCAAACGCTTGAGCCATCTTCCACTGCTGTCCCAGCACATTTGCAGGGAGCTAGATTGAAACTGGAGCAGCCAGGACTTGAACCAGTGCCCATACGGGATGCTGCTGCCACAGCTTCAGGCTGCTCTCTTTTAAAATATTTTTCTATTTTTTATTTGAATGGTAGTTAGAGAAGGGAAGACTAAGAGATCTTCTCATAACAAACAAGGAAACAAAGGCAGAGTTAGAGAGAGGGAGATAGAGATTTTCCATCTGCTGGTTCATTCCCCAAATGACCCCAATGATAGGAGCTGGGTTAGTCTGAAGCCAGGAGCCAGGAACTTCTGGTTCTCCTACATAGGTGCAAGATCCCAAGGCTTTGGGCCATCCTCGACTGCTTTCCCAGGCCACAAGCAGGGAGCTGGATGGGAAGTGGAGCTTCCGGGATTAGAACCGGCGCCCATATGGGATCCCAGTGTGTTCAAGGCGAGGACTTTAGCCACTAGGCCACAGTGGCAGGCCCTAAAAATAAATCTTAAAAGAAAAAAAACAGCCAGGGCTGTGTCTTGCCAAAACCAGGACCAGAACTCCATTCTGTTTTCCCACCTGGGTGGCAGACTGGAATGCTGACATTTAAGATGCAGGCACCCCAAGCAGCGCTGATGGTGAACGTGCCACATCATGGTCATGACAGCCCTGGACTAGCCAGGTGCCCAGCGGTTTCCACAGTGGACAGTGCAACGCTGTCAGAAAATGTAAGACCAGGTAGGGAGATTGAAGTTGTGGGAAGTGGTCCAACTCAAAGAGGAGGAAAGCTTTGGAGATTTTGAGTTAACTGAAGTTTTTCATGCCTAACCTAGCTGTGTCCTTGCTGTCTCTCCACTGCAGTGAGGCTGGGCTGTCCTTTCAGGGGCCGCAGGCTGCTTCCGCAGATGTGTAGCTAGTGGAGTTTGGCAAAGTGGGACAACAGGGAGCACCTGTTTACCTTCAGATGTGATTATGGTATCAACACATGGCTGGGCACTAGTTAAAAAAAAAAAAGACACCTTTAGACAACATTGATTAAAGTTGAGAGTCAACCAGTTATTAAACCTTGCAGATTAATGTGCTCCAGGTACAAGACCAAGAATGACTCAGAGAACACATTTAGATGCTTCTAATAATAGCATGTACCCGGACTGGATGGATTCTTCTTGGCATCCAAAATCTGAAGTGAAGTCATCGCCCCTCTAAATGTACTCCCCACCCCACCTCACGCATCCCTCCCCACTCCTGGCAACTAAGCCAGAGGCTGACTTGAGTCTTACCTCATTCCTCAGGCATTAGCCTTAGATAAGAACAATTTAGAGGATGTATGCTAGCTAGTTTTGAACCATTATTTACCAGCTCAAAGGGCCTGCTGTGCAGAGCATCCCATCTTCCAACTTGCAGCTGCTGAACATGTCTGGGGTTTCTGGGTAATGAGTAAACGCGGTGGGAAACTAACCATTAGGACAGTGACTGCCCTGACGAATAAAGCATCTATCTGCACCAAGTATGGACGAAGCAGAGGTATTAGGACATGGGAAATTCGTTTTCCTATAAACCACCCAGGTATTTTCTGAATATAGTTCATTAACTGTCCTTCCAGAATTCCAGTATATATTATATATATAAAACCAAGATTTATTTTTTTATTGGAAAGTCAGAAATACAGAGGAGAGACTAACAGGAAGATCTTCCATCTGATGGTTCACTTCCCAAGTGGCTGCAACAGCTGGAGTTGAGCGAATCCAAAGCCAGGAGCCCAGAGTCTCTTCGGGGTCTTCCACATGGTGCAGGTTCCCAAGGCTTTGGGCCATCCTCAACTGCTTTCCCAGGCCACAAGCAGGGAGTTGGATGGGAAATGGGGCTGTCAGGATTAGAGCTAGCACCCATATGGAATCCTGGTGTGTACTAGGTGAGAACTTTAGCCACTAGGATGCTGTGCTGGGCCCTTCAGTCAATATTGTGTTCAATGAAGACTGACTTTTCTTGTCTTCAATTTACCTGTTAGGATAAAAACTAGCAGTATCTTAATGGAAATGAACTTTGCACAAGGGGCTGTGTGGGAAACAAGGCATCAAGTAAAGGACCAAAGTCCTTGGCAACAGCATGACGCTGAAGGGGTGAAACTAAACAGTCCTTTGAGGACCTGTTTATTCTTGACAAGATCTGTTTTGCATCACCACTTTCAAAAGCAGCATCCGTTTGTCAGGGGCGGCCTCCCCAAACCTCCATTTCCTAGCATGAAGTCATAGTGGCCTCAGGATTGCCATGAAGACTAAACACTGTCTAAGGAGGTGCTTTATGAACTAGTGGATGTGAGGTCTGTGTGCTGCTGGGCTCATCAGCAATGTTCTTGGACATCTCATGCAGGAACAGCTGGAGGAAATGGAGGAACGACAGAGGCAACTGAAGAGTGGAGTCCAACTCCAGGAGCAGAAGAACAAAGAGATGGAGCAGCTAAGGACCAGCCTCGCCCAAGAGCTCTCAACTTACAAGTCAGTTTTAACTGCTATTCAAACCTCTATTCCTAGCAACAAGGATGACAGGGCGGGTTTAGAAAAACTGCCTTAACAGTGATGAACAAAATAATGATTTGGGAAATGCTCTTCTGGACAGATGGAAAATGCTCTGTTTTCCCCCAAAGGGCTATGCTCCCCAAGAGTCTGGAACAGGCCGCTGCTTCCACTTCTCAGGCAGGTGGGATCCAGACACATCCTCAAGGTGACCTTGAAGGGCACAAAAGTGGTATTTGCTATTGTTTCTGCCTTCGTAACAAACTAACACCTACCGCTTAGTGTAACCCTTACCTCCAAAATGCTTCGGCTAAGCACATCGAGCTCATTTGGAGTGTTTCATTTTCTAACTAATATTCACAGTATGCCCCAGTTATCACCAAGAATTCTGTAACTGGATAGAACACCTAGGCTCTGGGCAATCTTACTTTCCTGACCTTACACTACCTTCACTGCCATTTAACCTCTGGTATAGCAGAAGTAGTTCTGTCATCAAATTCAGACTGACAAGAGGTCAACAAGGCAGCTAAATGACTATGCAACATCATTAAAAGCAAAATATCCTGAGAAGGGATGATGTTTAGGCTGGGGAAAACAAATTAATGTTTTTTAAGTATAAAGTACTCAAAAAACAAAAAAGCAAGCTGTGTTGGGACTAGAGAATCTCCTCCTGACCAGTGTGCTACAAGATCCCCCAGTCCTAAAACTATTATACTCTTTATACATGAGCTCTTCACAAATTATAGATGTACATTAAACATATACTCCCCCCCCCCTTTTTTTGGCACCACATGATTTTTTTCTTGTGAAACAGAGAAAGAACTCCTATCTTCTGGCTTATTCACTAAATACTTGCAAAGGGGGCTGGCCATCTGTGGTGCTGGATTCCATGTGGGCATCAGTTTCTTGACTCAGTTACTCTTATTCTAAATCCAGTTCCCTGCTAATGGCCTGGGAAAGCAGTGGAAGACAGGCCAAGTGCTTGGGCCCCTGAATCCACATTTGAAACAAAAAACCCCCCTGGGCTCCTGGCTGTAGGCGGGCCAGGGCCAGTCCACTTTTTTCCCTTTTTCTGTAACTATACCTTTCAAATAAATAAATCTTTAAAAAAAATTTGTATTGGGCCCAGTGGCCAAAGTTCTCGCCTTGAATGCACCAGGATCCCATATGGGCGCTGGTTCTAATCTCGGTGGCCCCACTTCCCATCCAGCTCCCTGCCTGTGACCTGGGAAAGCAGTCAAGGATGGCCCAAAGTCTTGGGACCTTGTACCCGTGTGGGAGACCTAGAAGTTCCTGGCTCCTGGCTTTGGATTGGCACAGCACCAGCTGTTGTGGCCACTTGGGGAAGAGAATCATCAGATGGAAAACCTTCCTCTCTCCTCCTCTCTGTAGATCTGAATCTGTAATGAAGATAAATCTAAAAACAAAAAAGTATTGAGACCTAGCACATTAGCCTAGTGGCTAAAGTCCTCACCTTGCATCCCCCTGGGATCCCATATGGGCACTGGTTTGTATCCTGGCTGCTCTACTTCCCTTCCAGCTCCCTGCTTATGGCCTGGGAAAGCAAGTGAGGACAGCCCAAAGCTGTGGGACCCTGCACCTGTGTGGGAGACCCGGAATGGGCTCCTGATCGGCTTGGCTTTGGCCATTGCAGCCACTTGGGGAGTGAACCAGCATTTAGAAGATCACTGTCTCTCCTTCTCTCTGTAAAAATAAATCTTAAAACAAGAACCAAACCAACAAACCACCCATGTACTTATTTGAAAGGCATAGTGGCAGAAAGGGGAACAGACACCTTCTAACTACTACTGGTTCATTCAAATTATTGTGAAAGCTGGGGCTGGGCCAGGCAAAGCTGGAACAGAAAACTCTACCCAGATCATCAGAGGCAGGACATGATCCCAAGCACTGACACAGGATGCAGGATCCAAGCTAGCAGCCTAAGTCCTGGCCCACATGCTGGCTCCAGCATTGCTGTTCTTTGAATGCTATTACATTCCCCTCTTAGGATTTATTTTATTGGAAAGGCAGATCAAATCTACAGAGAGGAGAGACAGAAAGATATTCTGTCCACTGGTTCACTCCCCAAATGCCTACAACAAAAGGAGCTGAGCCAATCTGAAACCAGGAACCAGGAGCTTCTTGCAGGACTTCCATGCTGGTGCAGGGTCCAAAGGCTTTGGGCCGTCCTCGACTGCTTTCCCGGGCTACAAACAGGAGCTGGATGGGAAATGGAGCAACTGGGACAGGAACCATCACCCATATGGGATCCAAGTGTTCCAAGTTGAAGATTTAGCTACTAAGTCATTGGCCATGCCTGCTGTTAACTTTCTGAAGTACTCTCATGAATTTTTTAGATAAATAAATCCGACTACAGAATCTGAGGCACTTCAATTCTTGTTCAAGTTAACCTGGTCAGGGATAGTTTCATTCCTTCACATCAACTAGATTGCCTTTCAGTTCTGCAAACACGAGGCATCTAAGTGCTTGCCAACAGAAAGCAATCCTTTACCAGATGGATGTCAATTGCCCTGCTGCAAGCTTTTTTAAATACAGTCGTGTGCACCTTTGAAACTTCACTATTACAAACCTTCTACTGTATTATTTAAAGTTTCAGTAAGTGTAAACTATTTTTCCTTTCAACCTTACAGGGGCTGTTTAGAACTGTACTGCAGAATCTGTAATCCAGAAACAACAGATAAACCATCTTAGCAAAAGATCACCAAGTATTCTTTTGGAGATACTCTTCCAAACAGACACGTGATTGTCAGACTTGGCAAGCCACTTGCCCAGTTGCAAACACTGGCTGACTATTTACAGAACATCAGTCCACTCCGAGCTGGATTCTGTCTCACTGGCTGCTGGTTCTGATGTCAGTGCACTGAGGACTAGAAGATGGGTGTGAATGTATGGACACATCTGGTGGTACCTATGATCAATGTATCTTTCCTGGTGTTGATCCAAAGGGGGGAAAAAATCTGGGAAGGCAGAGGTGGGATCCCCAAAGGAGCCTACTTCCACTAAGTGGACTTATTTTGTGCTGTTTAGTGTTATCCACTCCTCTTGCAAAGTTTACTTTTTCCTAAAATTGTGTCAAGATAATTTTTAGGATGTTCTAACACTAGATATGGAAGAACCAATACTGTTTTGAACCCAGTGTTAAGACTGCAGATTTCCAGAAAGATCTTAAGTGGTTTCAAAGTGTCAGAGCAAACTACCGAGTTTGAAAAACCAAAACAAGAATGGAAAGATCCAGGCTTTTTATCTGGTTCTAGTATTTGGTGGGAAAGGCCCTCAGAGCTGATTCCTTCTAGCCTCTAGGTAAGAGCCCAGGGAAGACACTGGGGACCCAGCTTCTCTGAGAAAAAAGGTCCCAGTGCCTTTTCCAAATTAAGCTACGCCTTAAATTCTACCACACTGCCTTGGACACTCCTGAAAACCTATGTAACTCTCTAAGGATAGATTTTAAGATGTTATTTTACCAAAGACTGATCTATGCACTTCCAATTCAGTATTTCATGTCTTTCACTTTTCTGGAAGAGTAAAACTCTTTTCTAGAGATCTGAGTCTATTATATTTAATTTTATTTTTAATAGTCAAAGACCATGGGAAAGAACTCATTTAAACTACTCTTCTTAAATACAGATTCATGTTTGATGGATGTTATGTATTAAATAAAACCCACAGCATGGGGTTATATAGAAAAGCCATTTATTACATTATAAGCACTTACACAGTTAGTCATGGAGAGTACAGGCCTGCTGGTAAAACAGGTCACTCAAAATGGAGATGGTATTAAACTAGTGGTCAAGGACTAACCCCTAAAAAAAGAAAAAAGCAACTTTTATCAAGGATTAATTTAATTTTAAAAACAAATACAAGCTATCAATTCACTCTTTTTCAACCTGACAGTCTACCTACAGTACAACTGCCAGGAAAAAACATACATCTTTACAACTTGGTGGTCCCAAGTTAAAACAAAACAAAATAAAACCATTTCACAGAAAGGAAAGGAATAATATGAAAAACAGCTCAAGAAATACACTAATGAGCAAAAATATACGGAGAAAGAGGAACATGTAATTTCGACTTAAATGAAGAAACCAAGAGGAGACTGGTCTATGCAGGAAAATGTGCATCCTGGAAAGTCAGTGTGAAGATCTGAGCAGGAACCTGTGACTCGAACCTCCCCTATTTCCTGAATAAAAATGACACCTTGCATTATTTAAACTTCATGGCTCAGACACCTAACTCAGTTGGCTCTATTCCTTGCTCATTCTAATATTAAATCAATCTGAAAAATGTGGGGATATAGCATTAAGAAGGAAACACACCTAATATTCCCCTCTGTAGCCACTTTAGACCTGGACTTGTTACTAGAAAATTCCTGAAGAAAATTTAAATATATGTTTGTGACTTTACTGAATCAAGTCCGGCAGTTACTATTTAGAAAACACCCCTGTTTGGGCTAATAGCATTGTTGGTGGTACCTAGTACAGAGGCTAGCAGAACAAAGTCTGTGTGTCTCAAAAACAGTGTTAAAGTCAATCTTGGGGTTGAGAGGGAAAAAGGGGAGCCTAAAGTCACGAGAAGTGCAGACATGTCTAGGATCCTTGTCCTTCTGGATCCACACTTCCTTCAGGATCTTCATCATTGTAAATGTTCTCGGCCTGCCCAAAAACAAGAGAAAGAGAAAGTATTTAGTAAAATAGAAAAAGGGAATTTATTTTCAAGTCAGCATTCCCACAACAGAACTGGGAACCAGATTAACAAACACTTTCAGCCTGTGGGCCATTTATTCTCTGTTGCAACTATACAACAATGGTGATACTGGATAAAGGCAGCAAGATATGAATTATAATGGGCACGAATCATAAATGAATGGGGACAGCTGTGTTTCAATAAAAAGTAGGCATCTGTCCCACAGGCCCTTCTGAGGACACCCATAAAACTGTAGTCACAATTTTGATAGACAACATCCCTGAGCCTTTTAATCCAACAGTAATAATATTCAACTGCAATCAACTTATCAATGGATACATGATTTATGCATACAATGGAGTATATGCCAATCAATAAGAAGCCCACAGCATCCAGTATAATTTCATTGTTTAAAGTGTCCAGAACAAGCAAATCCATAGGAAAGTAGACTGAGAGTTTACTAGGAGTTTGGGGCTAGGGCAGGCTACGAGTCAAACAGTGATAACTTATGGGTATAGATTTTTTTTTAGAAAGCCAGCGTGGTGTTACAGCAAGACCAAGCCTATGTCTGTGGCACTGGCATCCCTTACAGGAATTGGCTCAAGTCCTGGCTGCTCCATTTCCAATCCAACTCCCTGCTAACAGCCCATGAAACCAGCGGAGGATGGCCACTGGGGCCATTTGGGGACTGACCTAGCAGATCTTAACACTGCCTTAATCAAACAAACAAAAAACAAAACCTTAAAGACCCAAAAGCTTATTGTTAGGAATTGTTACAATTTGTTGCAGAATGCTAGTCAGACACTCAAAATACAGCACATGGACATCCTTAAGCAGTGACTTAACATGATGTGCCATTAACACCTGGCTAGGATTTTTTTTTTTAATGTTTAGAGAGGTTTCCATCTTCTTGTTCTCTCCCAGATAAATGCCACACAGGGCCACCCAAATACTTATAACAACAATAATGGACTACACAAAACTATCAATTTAAAAATCACATCTAGGCCCGGCGGCGTGGCCTAGCGGCTGAAGTCCTTGCCTTGAGCATGCCGGGATCCCATATGAATGCCGGTTCTGCTCCCGGCAGCCCCACTTCCCATCCAGCTCCCTGCTTGTGGCCTGGGAAAGCAGTAGAGGATGGCCCAATGCTCTGGGACCCTGCACCCGCATGGGAGACCCAGAAGGAGGTTCCTAGCTCTTGTTTCTGGATCGGAACAGCACTGGCCTTTGCGCTCACTTGGGGAGTGAATCATCGGACGGAAGATCTTTCTCTCTGTCTCTCCTCCTCTGACTTTGTAATAAAATATAAAAATATATCTGACTTTGTAATAAAAATAAATATAGCAGCTAAAGTTCTTGCCTTGCATGAGCTGGGATCCCATAGAGATGGTGGTTCTAATCCCAGCAGCCCCACTTCCCATCTAGCTCCCTGCTTATGGCCTGGGAAAGCACTGGAAGACAGCCCAAAGCCTTGGGACCCTGCACCCAAGTGGGAGACCCAGTAGAGGCTCGTGGCTTTGGATTGGCTCAGCTCTGGCCATTGCGGTCACTTGGGGAGTGAACCATCAGACAGAAGATCTTCCTCTCTGTCTCTCCAGTAAAAATAAATAAAACTAAAAAACTGAAAAAGTAGAGGTGCTGGGACTCAAATCAGCATGCCTGCATTCTAAGGAGTATCCGAACCTGCTGCTCCACAAACACCAACCAGCTTCCAGAGGTTTACTCTGAAGTCATCCAGGGGGTTCACTGAGTAACTCAGAGGTGGCCCATAGATCATTATGAAGAACCAGTCACTGGGCTTGGTGCAATGGCCAAGTGGATAAATCCTTACCGTGCAAGCACTGTGATTCCACATGGTCACTGGTTTATGCCCTAGCTGCTGCGTTTCCCACCCAGTGCCCTGCTTGTGGCCCAAAGCCTTGAGACCAGTGTGGGAGACACAGAAAAGGCTCCCGATTAGCTCAGTTCTGGCCATTATGGCCACTTCGGGAGTGAACAAGCAGACAGAAGATCTTTTTGTCTCTCCTCCCCCTCTGTAAATCTGCCTTTCCAATTAAAAACAAAAACAGTTATCATTCCAGAAGTTTTGCTCTTTAAAAAAAAAAACAAACCGGGATGAAGTAAAAACTAGAATAAGAGGTGATGGCCTTGCAAGGCTTGTGCACATTCCGACCACAGCCCCTCAGCAATTGCGGGCAGCGGTAGCCTGATACTAAGACAGCCATGTCCTCCAGCAATAGTGCTTGAGTTTTGGCTCTGTTCTAATTCCAGTTTTCTGCTAATGCTTAACCTGGAAGGCGGTAATAATGACTCAAGTAACTGCATTCCCACAATCTATGTAGGAGACCTCTACTGGGCCTGCAACTCAAATTTTGGAGTTTTGGCCTGACCCAGCCTGGGTCATTGTGGAAATGTGAGGAATAAACTAGCAGATGTGACCTTGGTTTTTTTCAAATTCATGATTTTAACATTTTAGCCTTCTGTTTATATTACACTATTCTAAGCATTCTGACAACATGAAGGGCAAGAACCTAAACTTGGGGCAGAGTACAGTGTAATGTTTTCAATGTCCAGGCATGCGGCACAAACTAGCACTGATGCTGTGAGATGCCATCTACCTCCTCTGGTATGTGTGCTTACATCTGTTCAAAGAAGGCAAGGGAGAAACCTGCAGAGAAGAGTATGCACAAAGTGACAAGTGAAGTAGATCTCAACATGAACAGACACAAACTCTTCGGGGCAGGTTTTATGGCACAGTGGGTTAACCTGCTACCCGCAATGCCGAGTCCTGGCTGCTCTACTTCTGACCCAGCTTCCTGTTAAAATGAAGTGTATGAAGCTCCTGGATTCTGCCTCAGTCATCAGGGGAGTGAACCAGTGAATGTAAACCAATCAACTAGTTGATCTCTGTTTAACTCTCTCAAATAAAATAAAATGTTAAAAACTTCCACAAATAAATGGCCCAACACTCACCATCTGCCACACTTGCATGATATTATCCTCTGACACAGAACAAATCACCCATGGTTCATTGGGATTCCAGGAAAAATCAGATATCTTAGCAGTGTGACCACCATGAATGAACTGAAAAGGAAAAACAAGGATGTAAAATGCAGACCTAGGACACTAACTTACAAGCTATTTCAGTAGGATTCAAAGATCTCAACATACCAACAACTCTGGTGGCCCATCTTCTGCATCTTCTGGAGATTGCTCTTCTCCAATTTTACTAGCATAAAAAGAGAACAATGTCAAAACAGTTGATTTAACTACCTGTGCAAATAAAACTAAACAGAAATGAGGTGATACAAGACTGACCTTAAGTCCCAGACATTCAGTCGGCGATCAGTACCACTGGAAGCCAAAATGGTCTCGTTATGAGGTGACCACTGGACCTACACAGACATGAAAAGAGGAAAGCCATGAATTGGACAAATCAAGGGAAAATATAAAAAAACCTAGTAATTTTGAAATTTTGTAAATAAATAAACACTACAGTTTAAACTGACAGCTCTTTAAATGAAACGAACTTGTATTTATTTGAAAGGAAAGATAGTATATACAGAAAGAGATCTCTCATCAGCCAGTTCACTCTTTAAAAGCCTGCAGGTTTCAGAGCCAGAAGCTCCATCTGTATTTCCTAAGTGGAACATATCGCACATTTGGAGAAAGTGGCTCATATCTTTACAGACTACATCTTACCTATTATTATGGTGTCTGGCCAAATGTAATCTAATTCTGAACGAAGAACTATAATCATACAGATGGCATATATGTGATAAGTACTTTTCCAATTACTTATGGATGAATTCCACATCACACACAAAGATCAAAAGTGGTTCCTACTGGGGCCAGGGCTGGGGCACAGCAGCTAAGCTGCTGCTGGCGATGTCAGTGCCCCATGTCAGAGCACTGGGTGAGGTACTGACTACACTATGAGCTTCCTAAGAATGGGCCTAGGGAACAGAAGGTGGCCCGAGTACCTGCACAGCTGCCCCTCCAGTGGGAGACTAGGATAGAATTCCTGGCTCCAGGCTTCATCCTGGTCTAGTTTGTGGCTGCTGTGACCATTTGCACAGTCAACTGGTGGACAGAGATTCTTTCTTCTCTCTGATGCTCTGCCCTCAAATTAGTAGTTAAAGAGGATGAATATTCTTCAGGCAAGGACATGATTATGAGCAAAGGGTGAAGATGAGCATACTAAAGTAAAAATAAGGCAGCAGGCTCAAGTTCCCTGAAGTCCAGATCAGATGCCATATTCAGCAACCTGATCACATGACAGGTTTTATTATAACAAATGTTTAATGTCAGTATCAAATTTAAAACAAGGTAAAAACTAATGTTATCTCCCTCAGAGTATCTGAACAATAAACTTCAAACATAGTAAAACAATGAATTTGTTGAACTGAGCCATATAAGAGAAGCAGGGACTGGCAATGTGGCACAGATCATTAAGTGCTTGGTACAAGGCACTCACATGCAGTGTCAACATAGGTCCTATTTACTCTATGCTTCTGGCTCAGCTTCCTGTTAATGCACATGGGAGATACTGGATTACAGCCCATATAGTTGGATTCCTGTAACTTTTGGGGAAGCCTATATGAAGTTCCTGGCTCTTGGTTTTTCCTAGATCTGACAGCAGTGGGAATTCAGGGAGTGAAACAAAAGTTGAAAAATCCCTCCCTGTCATTCTGCCTTTCTAATTAAGTACTTTGACATATGTTGTGGTGCAACATGGGAAAGCTTTCACCTGACGCCAGCATCCTGTTCGGCTGCTGGTTTGTGTCCTGACTTCCGCTTCTGACCCAGCTCCCTGCTAAAGGCCTGGGAAGAGCAACAGAAGATTGCCCAAACATCTGGGATCCTACCACAGACGCAAAAAACCTGATGAAGCTTCTTAGTGCTCGTTGTTGTTGTGGCCATTTGGGGAGTGAAGCAGAGGGTGCAAGACTCTTCCACCAACTCTATGACTCTAATTTTCAAATAAATAAATCTTAAAACACATACACACACACAAATACTATTGAAGCACAAAACAAGAAGTTATAACAGAAAAATGGCCAGTCTGAAACAGTAATGGGGCGGTGGAGATGTGAGAAAGCAGTGGACAATGGCCCAAGTGCTTGGGCACTTGCTATTCATGTAAGAGACCCGGAAAAACCTCCCAGCTTTGATCTGGCCAGTCCTGCCCATTGCAGCCCATTGCAACTGACAACTGAACCAGCAGCTGGAAGATCTCTCTCTCCTCAATACAACTCCGACTTTCAAATAAATAACCCATTTTTAGAAAAGGATTTATTTATTTCCTTGAAAATCAGAGTTACTCACAGAGATGGGAAAAAAAACAGAGAGAGCACCTTCCATTAGTTGGCTGACTCTGAAGCCAGGAGTTTCTTACACACGGACAGAAAAGCCCAAGTACCTGGGCTATTCACTGCTTTACTAGGTGTGTTAGTACGGAGCAGGATTGAAAGTACAGCCACAAAACAAATGAAAAATATTTCCTTACTAAAAAGAAAAAGGAAACACAGTAGAGAAAAACAACACAGTTTCCACAGAAGTTAGCTCTAGCTTACAGAAAGACCCCTATTATTTTAAGCAATGGATAAAGCACAAATGTGCCCAATTACACATGCAAGTCATCCTTTAAGAAAAAATGAGTACCACTGATTTTTCTTACCTGGAATATCTCATCTTTGTGTGATTCAAAGGAATGCAACTTCAGTTTTAGATTTCTCAAATCCCACAAGGCAACAGTCTACATACAAAGCAAAAGGAAAGACCAACACATTTTTTTTTAAAGTAAGAAAAATTCATATAACTGAAAGATCCATTCCACCAAAATGGAGAAACACATCCTACATATTCTATTAAAATAAACAAAACTGAGCCCGGCGCAGTGGCGCAAGTGGTTAAGGTCCTCACCTAGCACGCCCAGGATCCCATATGGGCGCCGGTTCTAATCCCGGCAGCCCCGCTTCCCTTCCAGTGGCCTGGGAAAGCAGTCGACGACGGCCCAAAGCTTTGGGAGCCTGCACCCGCGTGGGAGACCCAGAAGAGGCTCCTGGCTTCGGATCGGCATAGTATCGGCCGTTGTGCTCACTTGGGGAGTGAATCATCGGATGGAAGATCTTCCTCTCTGTCTCTCCTCTCTGTATATCTGCCTTTCTAATAAAAACATAATAAAAAAAAATAAAATCTTAAAAAAAAATAAAAAAAATAAATAAATAAACAAAACTGGGCCCGGCACGGTGGCGCAAGTGGTTAAGGTCCTCGCCTTGCACACCTGGGATCCCATATGGGCGCCGGTTCTATCCCGGCAGCCCCACTTCCCTTCCAGCTCCCTGCCTGTGGCCCGGGAAAGCAGTCGAGGACGGCCCAAAGCTTTGGGACCCTGCACCCGTGTGGGAGACCCAGAAGAGGCTCCTGGCTTCGGACCGGCATAGCATCGGCCGTTGCGCTCACTTGGGGAGTGCATCATCGGACGGAAAACCTTCCCCTCTGTCTCTCCTCTCTGTATATCTGCCTTTCCAATAAAAACATAATAAAAATCTTTAAAAAAAAGAAAAAAAAATAAACGAAACTGACCTTGTCAGCTGATCCCGTGGCAAGGATGAACTCACTATATGGATTGAAAGACAGGCAATTCACTTCAGCAGTGTGAGCATCCACTGAGTGGCTTGGCTTGGAAGTGTTGTTTGAACGAGTATCCCAGCTTTAGTTAAAAAGCAAAAAGAAGAAGAAAAAAAATAAGTTAGTAAAACCTTGAAATTGTAAATGCATGATTTAGATAGTACACAAAGAAAAAAACAAACAACGAATTCCACTTACATCATTAGTTTCTGATCATCAGCAACTGACCCAAACAGAGACTCATGCAGCAGATGCCAGGAAACATCCTCTACTACGGCCGTATGTCCCGTAAAGATGGTCTTCGCATCCACTACCTTCCCTTCCTTTGGAACGGCACTGATGTCCCACAGGCAGATAGTCTTAAATGTGAAAGCAAGCATTACATGCAAGATGTCCACCTCCTCACAAATCCCCCAGAGAAACCCAGCCAGTGCTTAGCCCAACGAGGAAGGATACGCACATGGTCATCAGAAGCACTCAGTAAGTGTCCACTGAGATTTGGGTTCCAAGAAAGCCCATAGCCTTCCTTCTGATGTCCACGGAGACGTAAGTCTGGGTTGCACTCACCAGAAGGGTCTGCAGATGTAAGACACGTGTGGGCTATTTACTCTATTGTCTCTCTGGGTCTACTCAGCATAACAGAACTCGATTAACCAAATACCTATATTCAAAGTTACTAACATTTATAAATTACTCACGATCAGATAAAATTACATATTAATATAAATCACAAAACGTGAATTATACAAACAGTAACAAGTAATGAGTGGTACTAAGTATTTCCATTTTGACTCATTACCTATTTGACAAGAAAAGGGCAAGTACCTGGCTTAGAAGGATGTTTTGTATAGTCAAAGACTAGAACATCGCTGGATGGAGTCTTTGTTGCAATGATGCAAGGATTCTGGGGCATGTAACGAGCCCTGTTTACTTCTCCTTCATGGTTGATCTTGATTTCTATTTCAATTTTCCCACTAACTGAACCAAAACCTCCAAATTCTGTAAATAAAATAAAAAGCAAATGAGGAAAAAGCAGGAAGCACTCCAGATCTGTCATTCAGAGCACACAGACTTTTATCAACAAGCTGGTGCAGAGGTTAAGTTAGAAATGTTAGCTCTTCATATAAAGTGCTTTCAGTCTTCTGACTATATACATAAACACTTAACAGACATCATATCACTATTTGAAATTACTGAAGATTAGCGATTCCACCGGAAAAGGAGCTTCTCAGTAACTTTAAAGTATTATTTACACTACAAGCATGTTGAATAAATAAAACTAAAGTCATTATTGAAACAGCCTCCCACAACTATTTTCTAACATGAGGTTGGCACTGTGGTACAATGGGTTAAGCCATGGCTTCCCACATAGGACTAGTCCTAGCTGCTCTGCTTCTGATCAAGCTCCTGCTAATACGCCTAGGAAAGCAGCACAAGATGACTCACGTGAACCCCTTTCACCTATGTGAGAAACTGGATGGAGTTCCAGGCTCCTGGCCTTGGCCCAGACTAATCCCTGCAAGTATGGACATTTTGGGAGTGAACTGCTTTTCAAATAAACAAATATTTAAGAATACAAATCCTGTATTAACAACAACAAAAATACTAATTAAAAAAAAATTGGGACCCAGTACAGCAGACTTTACTCCTCGCCTTGCACGTGCTGGGAAGCCATATGGGTGCCATCTGTATCCTGGCCACTCCACCTCTTTTCCAGCTCCCTGCTTTGTGGCCTGGGATAGCAGTTGAGGATGGCCCAAACCCTTGGGACCCCTTATCCACGTGAGAGACAAGGAAGAGAGAGGCTTCTGGCTCCCAGGTACAGATCGATCAGCTCCAGCCATTGAGGCCACTTGGGGAGTGAACCAGCAGATGGGAGCTCTCTGTCTCTATAAACCTAACTTTCCAATAAAAAGAAATCTTTTTAAAAAAGTATATATTAGAAAGGTAGAGTAACAAGAAGTAGATACAGAGATAGCTTTCATGGCTGGGCCACTCCCCAAAACCCTGCAACAGTCAGGACCAGGCCAGGCTAAAGCTAAGGCCTCCATCCAGGTCTTCCACATGGGTGGCAGGAACTCAAGTCCTTGGGTCATCACTGCTGCCCCGCAGGTACATTAGCAGGAGTGCTGGAGAACAAAGACATGCCAGCAGGCTTGAACCAGACACCCCAGTACGGGGCGCAGATGTCCCAAACAGCAGCTTAAACTAGCTGTGCCACAATGCCTGCTGTGGTGTGCCCTTTCTGGAACACCGTCACACTGATCTCCCGACAGCATTTCTATTAGCCCAATGAGGAAAAGCAGAGCCCCAACAGCTAATTCCATTTTCTTAACTTCACTTACACTTGCCAACCAATTTTCCTGGTTGAAATAAACCAGGTAAGAAAGGACTACACAAAAGCATTTTATATTCACATTTTACTACTATACGCATTCAAGAGCTCACCTAAGCATCATTGTAAAGTGCTTAACAATACAATTTGTGATTGTGTAAATGTTGGCAAAGCAATATAAAAACAAAGGCGAAGTTAATGCCAAAGGATTACAGAAGCCAACATGAACTAAGTCCCATAAGTGTTAGACGAGGCCTTGACGCCTAAGAGAAAGGTTTCCGAGCCTGAAATACCTTCTCCACCAGGCAAAGATGCTCTGACAGTACCATGTAAATAAAAATGCTCTGTCAGCATTGCTAAAAAAGTGTTATTTCCTGAAGGACAATGTTCTCAGAACACAAAGATGTAGATAATAACAGTTTTGTATTAGATAAAACTTTGAACTCCAAAACTTTTACAAGCAGAAAAAACATGTTTTAAACAGGCCAAAACTCTAAAAACAAAAGTTAAAGAATGTAAGGGAGGAAAAAAAAAAGTTAATCCCACTCCCATTGTGTCAAATGCCAGGACACTAGCCACTAGCCACAAACATGAACAACCTCCTACCAATCAAGCAGGAGCACTTTCTGGTGAAGCCCCAGAACACCTGCACACACGACTGTTAAAGAGGACATGCCTGCCGGGAGACACACCAGCACGGTGCGAAGCAGCACACAGCAAGAGGTTTCATTACTGAATGTGGGTCACTGAAGCACCGGGCATATTTTAAATGTGCTCCTTCCTTTACTATAAGGCACAGTAGTAAGAATTCAGCATAGAGGTATCAAAATCAAGTTTTAACACAGAGAAAGATCTAGCTATTGAAAATATAAACTGGGAGGGCTCCCAAGTTCAAGTTAGTAGCACTGGCTGAAAACAGTTAAGGGGCCAGGCATGGTAGCCTAGTGGCTAAAACCCTTGCCTTACATGAGCTGGGAATCCCACATGGGCGCCGGTTCCAATTCTGGCAGGCTCACTTCCCTTCCAGCTCCCTGCTTGCGGCCTGGGAAGGCAGGTGAGGATGGCCCAAGGCCTTGGGATCCTGCACCTGTGTGGGAGACCCGGGAGAGGTTCCTGGCTTTGCAACAGCTCAGTTCCAGCCACTGCAGCCGCTTTGGGAACAACTCATCAGACAGAAGATCTTCTTCTCTGTCTCTCCTTCTCTCTGTGTATCTGACTTTGCAATAATAATAAAAAAGGGATATGTGTAACAATGCACAATATTTTGAATGAAAACCAACATCCAACTTCCCTATTCTGTTAGCTTCTCTCCACATAAAACACTACTGAAACAAACATGAGATACAACATTGTGGTGGAAGTGTAGAGATCTGTAGCTTGATGAATTTTTACATATGTGAGCAACAGATAGACCACACAGCTGAAAACATACTCATGAAAGAAATTAATGTGTATTTTGTATCAAGAACAGCACCACAGTCTGATGCAATAGCCTAGTGTCTAAATCCTTGCCTTGCTTGCATTTGCACAGGGATCCCATATGGGCACCATTCTGTGTCCTGGCTATTCCACTTCCCTTCTATACGCCTAACCCCCCCCCCCCCCAATTGTGGCCTGGGAAAGCAGTGCAGGATGGCCCAAAGCCTTGGACCCTGTATCCGGCAGAAGCTCCTGGATCCCTGATTGGCTCAGCTTGGCTGTTATGGCAACTTGGGGAGTGAACTAGCAGACGGAAGATCTTTGTCTCTCCTCTCTGAAAATCTACCTTTCCAGTAAAAATAAATCTTACCAAAAAAATATATAGCACCACAAAGAACCACCATTTTGATTTCCAAGAATGAGATGTTTTTGAGTCTATAAGCCTCCAAATTCTAACATTCTATTTGATCATGCTTCAGTAAGAACAGAGATTTTTTTCCAAGGGTAAAGTCAGGGTTGGCACTAGTGGTCCAGTAGTGAAGACACTGGCTGGGAGGCTAGTGTTCTGTTGAAGAGGACCTGGGCTTGAATCTGGCTCTGCTCCAAACCCCAGATTCTTGCCACCAGAGGCCCTGGGAAGCAGCATGGCTAGAGCAGCTGGATCCCTGCCAGTCAGATTTGGCTCTCGTGGGCATTCAGGGAATGAACTAACTGGCAATCACTATCTGCCTCTCAAAATACAAAACTTCACAAACAAGCTGTTAAAAAACTTGGTCTTGGTAACAGAATATGAGGTACAATTTTACATCTTTGGGTATAATACTTGACCACAGCCAACCTAAATTTAACACACACACAAATTCTTTTTAATGTTGCAGCAGAAGCAGCCTTAGTTCTTTGCACTTCGGAAAGTTCAAGAGTCTGAACTGTCTAACAGCAATTACCTTAAACCAAAGGAGATTAAATAGTATGTAAGATGGTTTTACCTTCCAGGTAGGAAGGTGTCTACCTAATCCTGGCAGCCCCACTTCTCATCTAGCTCCCTGCTTGTAGCCTGGGAAAGCAGTCAAGGACAACCCAAGGCCTCGGGATCTTGCATCCATGTGGGGGACCCAGAAGAGGCTCCGGGCTTTGGATCTGCTCAACTCCAGCCATTGCAACCACCTGGGGAGTGAATCAGTGGATAGAACATCTTCCTCTCTGTCTATCTGAAGAATGGGGGGATAATAACCTGCAATTCTGGGATGAATTACAAAATCTGAGCCATAGGAAATTTTGTGAGGATCTAACAGGGTGATTTACATACTCATTATCACATTACTTTTCACTGCTCTGCTATGAAAAATCACAAGGAAGATAAAGCTCTTGTGTGTTTGTGCCTGTGTGTATATGCACACCTGTGCATGTGAACCCTGTGGCCAGCCCAGCCAGGGGTCCTCCTCACCCACAGCCTGTTTGTTCACCTGTCCTAAGCACCTCCACCCGTGTTGGGCAGCGGTGTGGGGCTGCATGTTCCCACAGCGTGTATCTTAGAGAGTGCTGGGTGTGAGCAAGTGTGCAACTATAGGCGGCACTGCCCCTGCTGACCACAATTCAGGAACTCCCCAGCCCGCCAGGATGCCCTGCTATAGAAGAGTTGGGCCGCTATCCTCAACCACTTAGTTTTGACGATAAAAAGCTCTGAAAAACGCCCAAAAAAACAAAGATCAAGGTGTTCCTGGTGCCTGAAATACAACTGGTTTCATGTCATACATTTCGTACTCCATACCTAACTCCAAAACAAATACTCGGAAGAAAAAAAAAGGTTTTAATGGTTAATAAACCAAGGCACAATGTGTATGGGTGACTACTGTGAAATCTTGGAATTGGAAGCGCTTTCACAGAGTGACAAAATGTAGAGGAAATGAATGGAAAGCTGGACAATTTCAAATGTATAGTTTTTAAGCAATTACTTAAAGGCCAAACGATTGACTTGAAACTACACAACTAGGGGCTAGTACTATGGTCTAGCAGATTAAGCTACCTAGCTAGTTGAGTCCTGGCTGATCTGTTTCTCATCCAGCTCCCTGCTAATGTACCTGGGAAAGCAGCTGGGTCCCTGCCTCCCACACCAAATCTGGAAAGATTTTTCCAGACTCTTTCCTGGCATCAGCCATATGGCAGTGTGAACCAGCAGAAAGGTCTTGACCCTTCTTTCCCGCTCTAATAAATCAATTTATTTTTTAAAAAAGATTTATTTTTATCACAAAATCAGATACACAGAGAGGAAGATCTTCCCTCTGCTGATTCACCCCCCAAGTAAGCTCAATGGCCAGTGCTGCGCTGATCTAGAGCCAGGAACTTCCTCCAGGTCTCCCACATGGGTGCAGGATCCCAAGGCTTTGGGCCATCCTTGACTGCTTTCCCAGGCCATAGGCAGGGAGCTGGATGGGAAGTGGAGCTACTGGGATTAGAACTGGCGCTCATATGGGATCCCGGCATGTTCAAGGTGACAACTTTAGTGCTAGGCCACAGCGCCAGGCCTCAAATAAATCAATTTAAATACAAATAAACAAAGCACAGCTGAATACAGGTGCAATAAGCAGGAACCAATCTCAAGTCAGTTTAGTACTTTCCCCCCCTCTAAGACTTTATTCTTTCCCACTTGGATTCAGGGTCCCAAGGATTTGGGCTATCCTCTTCTGTTTTCCCAGACTACAATCCAGGAGCTAGAAGGGAAGTGGAGCAGCTGGAGCACAAGCTTACACAAGATCCTGGAGCTTGTGAGTGGAGGATTAGCCAATTGAGCCGTGCTGCCGGGCCCAGTTTAGTATTTTTAGTTCCCCCAGATAACTACCTAGAATCATTTCACATCCTCCCCAAATGGCCTAAGTCTGAATGGATTCTTAAAACTGTATATGAAATACATGAAATTCACTGCCTTTATAAGAAAAACAAAGGAGAAAAAATGTTTGAGACAATAGCATTCTTTATTAAGAGTGCCTGTGTCAGCCTCTGTTCTGTTTCCAACTCCAGCTTCCTGCTAATCCTCATGCTGAGAGACAGCCAGCGCTGACTAAATGGCTCTTTCCTAATACTCATGGACAGACCTGAATTTGAGTTTGGCCCAAGCCCCAGCTGTTGCAGGCATGTGTGTAGTGAAATATTGGATGAAAGATTCTCTTGCAGCCTGGTGTTCAAATAAATAAATTTGTAAATAAATAAATAAACAAAACCATACAAACACAAAAAGACACATTAAGCCAAGATCACCACAGACTAAAATTACAATCATGATAAGTAACTTAAACATAAAAATGCATTCTACTGGAACCAGTGAGGTGGCTTATCATGCTAATCCTGGATTGGCACCAGAAGCCCAGAGTGTTGACTGACGCCCAGCTACTGCACTTCCAAGGCGGCTTCCCAACAGCCTAGTACAGCTGAGGGTGGTGGCCCAAGTTTCCAGGCCCCTTCACCCACATGGGAGATCTGGCAGTTGTGGCCATTTGAGGAGCAAACCAACAGATGGAAGAAGACTTCTCAAACTCTTGAGTAAAACAAACCAATCTTTAAAAAAGATTAAGACAATGTTGTCACATTCTAATCAAATAGATAAAAATCAAAAATATGACAACATGGGAACTTGCACCTGATCTAGTCTCTTGGATGCATCCCTAACTTCCCTGCCATGCTCAACTCTGCATCTTATCTTACCTGTGATCTATAATGAAAATTTTTCCTCAGGAAACGGTTGTGAACAATTTACTGTGGTACAGCTGTAACTATCCAAAACACCTGACCATAAAAACAATTTCACAGCAAAAGAAAGACAGTGTGAAGAAAGTAACGGATACAGGGATTTACCTTCCAGCTGCTGGTTCACCCTTCAAGTGCCCTCAACAGCCAACAGCAAACCAGGCTGCAGGCAGGAGCCATGACCTTCACCTGTGTCTCCCTAGTTTGGTGGCAGAATCCCAAATACTTCGGCCATCATTGGCTGCCTCTCAGGCACGCTGGTAAGAAGCTAAATTGGAAGTACAGGTAGCCAGGAGTTCCACTACTATAGAATGGAAGGGGTATTCCAAGCCATGGCTTAACACATCATACCACATGCCTGCCTCTGTATTATGCTTGATGCATTCAAAGAATAACAAGGCTTACACCTACTCACACCTGCAAACCAACCTCCATCATTTCAGGGACAATCGCATCTGTTGAACAGCCACAGGTGATATTTGCTTCTTTTAATTATTCAAATACTGCCCCCTCCCATCTACAGCAAAGGCACAAATCCAAATATAGCAAACTTTTTAAAAGCTTAAGCATTGCTTCTATCTTGAAATAAAAAATTGCACATCTCTTTAATGATAATTCAGATATGAAAAGATAAAGCCTGTACACTGCTTCTCTTTCACCTTTCAGATTCCTACCTCCCTTCTCACTGTCGTAGTGCGACGCATCAAACTGAGCATCATCATTGGGAAGCTGCACACTGGCTATCACAAGGTGGTTCTGCTCATCCGACGTATGCGTTCCCAGGACAAGTCGATGAATGCTGAAATCTTTGCCTTCTGGTCTGTAAATTGATACACAGTTATGATGCAAACATTAAAACCAAGGAACTCACACAGCCAGGTTTTTAGGAGAAAGTGTCATAAAGAGACTTGTTTTCAACTTTTCAAGTTTAGAAAAGGTCAGGATACAAAGGGAAGGAGGAATGGGATGGGGTAGGGTGAGGGAGCAAAAAGCATCCCCCCCCCCACGCTAATTCACGACCTCAATAACTGGGGCTGGGCAGGGCTGACACCAAGTTGGAAACCCAATCACTAGCGCCATTGCCACTGCTTCCCAATCCATGTATCAGCAGGAAGCTGGAGTCAGGAACTGAATTCATGCACTTCCCATCTGCCAATTTATTCAACAAATGCCCACAACAGCCAGGTTAAGGTAAGCCAAAGCCAGTAAACAACTCAAGCCAAATTACTGACCTGGGGATATGGTACCCAACTACTTAAGCTCTCACGTATTATGTTCCAAGGTGCATATTAGCAGGAAGCTGGAACACGAACTCAGACACTGTGACACTGTGCTGTGGCCTAGAGTTCGAAACTCATTCTATGTCTCCCCCATGGGTGACAGGAATCCAACCACTTGAGCTGCCACTGCTGCTTCTCCCCCAAAGTCTGCACCAGCAGAAGCTGGAGCCAGGGTTGAGAAGCTCATCGTGTCTTTATGCCTGCCTTTATTTTCCACTTGTGATGTGTTATCTACAGGCCAAATATAAGAATTACATGAAAATAAAATTTCCAAGTACTTCTAAACATCTCATCAATGGGCCAGTGGTGTGGTACAGTAGACTACATGGCTCATAGCCATCCATATGGGGGCCAGTTTGAGTCCCAGCTATTTCACTTTCAATCCAGTTCCCAACTACCTTTCCTGGTAAAGCTGTGAAAAGTGGCCCAAGTCCCTGTGCCCTTATGTCCACACTGGAGTCTGGAATGAAGCTCCTGGCTTTGGTCTGGCCTAGCCTATGCATTATGGCAATTTGGGGAGTGAACCAGCAGATGAACACCTCTGTCTCTACTTCTCTAACTTTGCCTTTCAAATAAAAGATAAATCTCTGAAAAATCTCATCAGCACAGCTCCGGCCGTTGCGGTCACTTGGGGAGTGAATCATCGGACAGAAGATCTTCCTTTCTATATATCTGACTTTCCAATAAAAACAAGTAATTCTATAAAAAACACAATAAAATTAAAAATCTGATCAAAAAATAAGACCCAGAAGAAAAGGTAAAGCCCATGGGATCATGCTGTGGTACAACAAGTTAAGCTGCTGCTTGCAGCTCTCATACTGCAGTGCCAGTCTATGTCCCGGCTATTTTGCTTCTGACCCAGCTTCTTGCTAAGACTGCTGATGGTCCAAGCACATAGGCCCTGCCACACTGTACACTTTCGCACACGCCCTCCCTGTGCTAGTTCACTCCCTCAATACTCAGGTCTGGGATAGACTGAAGTCAGGAGCTCAGAACTACACCCAGGTCTCCCACAGGCATAGAAGGCGCTCAGTCACTTAAGCCATGATTCACTGCTTCCTACGGTGCATTAGCTGGATGCCAAGTGGCAGGACTGGAAACGAAAGCAATATAGGGTTAGACAACAACTGGCAGCTTAACCTCCAGCACAGCTTGTCCTGGGACCAATACCACCAGCATTATCTGGGGACTGATTAAAAATACTGAGGGGCCCGGGGCAGTAGTCTAGTGTCTGGAATCCTCGCCTTGCATTCTCCAGGATCCCATATGGGCACTGGTTCTAATCGCCTTGCATTCTCCAGGATCCCATATGGGCACTGGTTCTAATCGCCTTGCATTCTCCAGGATCCCATATGGGCACTGGTTCTAATCCCATAGCCCTGCTTTCCATCCAGCTCCCTGCTGCTTGTGGCTTGGGAAAGCACTGGAGGATAGGCCGAAGCCTTGGGACCCTGCACCCATGTGGGAGACCCAGAAGAAGCTTCTGGCTTTGGATTGGCTCAGCTCCGGCCATTGCAGCCACCTGGGGAGTGAATCAGCAGATGGAAGCTCTACCCCCTCCTACATCTGACTTTGCAAAAAGTAAATAAGTAAATCTTTAAAAAACAAGACAAAACCAAAAAGCAACAACAACAAAAAAAACCAGAGCACAACAATCCCACTCCTGGGAGTAGGTCCAAGTAAAGCGAAATCAGCATGAGAAAGTGAACCAGGACCACGTTTATAGCAGCAGAATGCATGATGGTAAGGACCTGGAAACAATCCAGATGCCCGACAAAACAAACAGTGGTGCAACTATCTGTGGACTAATACACAGCTATTAAAAAGAATAAAATTTTACCATTTTCAACAAAATGGTCCCAACTAGAGACCATTATGTGAAATAAGAAAATCCTCAGAGGGTAAACGGTATTCATTCTGATAGATGACAACCTTCGTGCGAAATACAAAACAAATACATTTCTAAGTGCACAAGTCTATTCATACATTGACAGCTGGAATGTGTAATGGAGACCAGCATTCCAAGGAGTAAAGATGCAAATCAGAGGACTCCCAACGAAACAGCTCAACACACTTGGACAATAGGATACTAGATTTTCTACTTATGCTTACAATGTCATGACACACAAACAGAATGTTAAACCAGTAACTATCACTAAAGAATTATATTATTATAATATGGGGGGAAATGAAGGGGAGTGTGGAGAAAAGGGAAGGAAAGGGAAGAATCCCTGTAAATGCAGAACTGTATCATGGAAAATAATAATAAAAAAATATGGGGTAGCAGGTCTGATGCTGTAACATCGTGAGTTAAAACTGTTGCCTGCAGCGCCAGAATCCCACACAGGCACCAGCTTGTGTCCTGGCTGCTCCACCTTCGATCCAGCTATCTGCTTATGATCTGGGAAAGCAGCAAGATGCCCTGGGTCCTTGGGACCCTGAACCCATGTCAAGAGACTTCTGGCAACATTGTTGAGTGGTCCTGCAGGTAGACACCTTCTCTGTGTGGGATCTGCCTTTTAAAACCAACCAACCAACAAAACTCCATGGGCATGCACTGGTGAAGCTTTTACCCTATCAAGATGCTGAAGTTCCACCTGGAATACAGTGCCTTCTTCTTACAGTTTTTTGCTAATGTGCACCCAAGGAGACAGAAGGCAATAGAAGTTCAAGGACTTGGGCCCAGCTGGGGTAGCCTTGCAGCTAAAGTACTCAACTTGCGCATGCTGGGATCCCATAGGGGTGCAAGTTCTAATCCCAGTGGTCCCGCTTCCCATCCATCTCCCTGCTTGTGGCCTGGGAAAGCAGTCAAGGATGACCGGGGGCCTGTGGCCCCGCACCTGTGTGGAAGACCTGGAAGAGGCTCCTGGGCTCAGACTGGCTCAGTTCCGGCCCATACGGCTGCTTTTGGGGAGTGATTCTACAGATCGAAGATTTTCATCTCTCCTCCTCTCTGTATATCTGACTTTCCAATAAAAACAAGTTCAAGGACTCAGGTCCATGGCACTGACGTGGCAGAACTGGACCAAGTTCCTGTTTCTTGGCTGCAGCCTGGTCTACTCCCCACTATTCACAGGCATCTGGTACACCAGCAGATAGGAACTCTCTTTGTCACTTTCTGTGCCAATTAAAACAAGAACAAGGGCACAGTGCAGTGGCCCCAGTGGCTAATCCTCCCCCTTTACGTGCTGGGACTCACAGAGGTGCTGGTTTGTGTCCTCACTGCTTCAATTCCCATCCATTGCTTATAGAATGGTCCACCGCCTTGGGATCCTGCACCTGTGTGGGAGACCCGGAAGAAGCTCTGGGCTTCAATCAGCTCAGCTCCAGCTATTGTAGCCACTTGGGGAATAAACCAGCAGATAGAAAACCTGTGTCTCCTCTCTATAAATCTGTATTTCCAGCAAAAATCAATAATCTTAGATCCATGACAGATTTTGCAAATAAACTTAGGTGTGGGGCACAGCAATGTTTTATAACATCTTCAACTGATCTTGATAAACACTAACATTTGCAAATCTTTACTATAAATACTGTAGAAAAATACTGTAGGGAAAAATATTGTAGAAGTATTATGGCTCTGAAATCAACTGCTTGTCAAGCAGATAACAAATGTTCAAACTATGACACAGACAACTTGGGAGTGGGACCTCTTTGGAACCAATTATTCAGTGTGGACACAGCCAAGTTAGACAAACCAATTCCAGAGGAAATAAGACTCAAGAATTAAGAGCTCAGAAGTTGGGTTCAGAAACACCAATAGGAACTCTTCCACGCAGAAGTGACAGGCAATCCTAAGCCTGTGTCTTGCACAGAAAGGGGGCTGGCATTCGACACAGCAGTTAAGACATGACTCAGGACACTGGTGTATTTAGCAAGCAAGAAAGCTTGGGTTTGCGTTCTAGCTCTGCCAAGTCTGCACAGCCTAGCAGACAGTGGGGATGGCTCAAGGGACTGGGTTCCAGCCACCTGTACAGCAGACCTGGCTGCTGGCTGCTGCCTGCTCCAGTCCTGGCTGCCAGAGGCATTTAGGGGACAAGCCAGTACATGGAATGCCTTGGTGTAGCTACACCTTTCAAATAAACAAATCAAAGTTTAAGAGAAAAACTTTTATTACTGAGTTGAATCATCGTCTACTTAGCCACATGTTCAACTATTTCTCCACTCATTTCTGACAATCTCGCTTTTTACACCGTGTTCACAGGCTTGGTACACTTTAATTTACAAAGGTTTATTTTGAAGAGTTTTGTACAAAATAACTTCGGAGCATAACTGTAGGCTCTAAGTGAAGGCATCCTACAATAGAAACCTCATCATTCCAAGAGGGCATGGCCGGGTCACCTGCCATCCCTTCACCGGGCCCAGTCCCGTACAGGAAGGCGACTCTTGCTTTCCTAGGATCCTAAATGCTCTTGCCACATCAAATAACCAGTCTCTCCGGGGAGGCCTATTCCACAGGACTCACAATGTTGTGTTGCGACACTAAACCCGTCCTATCGTGTTTTGAAAAGCTGACAAGGCTGACATTAAGCGCACTCTGGTCCCTCGGAACAGGGCTCCACAGCTGTTATCAGAGAACAACAAAAGGCCGGTTTGTGTCCTCTATCTGCAACAGGACCCAACAATGTTGCCTCTTGCCTTTTTTTTTTTTCTGGGAGGGAGAGGGTGAAGGAGGGGGAGAGACCCGAGGGTTAAAAAAAAAAAACCCCACCGGCTCTGGCTCACGTGTCCAGTCCGGCTGACCCGAGCCAAATGAGAAACATCCCCGGCAGCGAAAAGCGAGAACCCGTGCAAGGGCCCCTGGTCACCTGGTGACATCTGGAAGCCACTGTGCGGTGAGGCTGGGCCACTCGAGCGCGTGGGTCATCACCAGGTCGTACAGAAAAGGCGTGTTCTTCTTCCATATCTTGTACTCTTCGTTGATCACGCGTTCTTCCACCGCGTCGTCAAAGGCGGCTGCCATTCGGGATCAACACACGCCCGTTAGCCGAGCGAGGAGGCCGCTCCCCCCTCCCACCCAGGACTGGACTGAAATGGAGGCCAAGTCGCCTCCACCTCCCCGCCGGGGCCTCCACCTCCCCGCCGGGGTCCTCGGCCGCCGTTTGCCGCTCCGCCCGCGGCCGGAAGTCTCCGGCTCCCTCCGGCCCCGGGCTCCCGGGTCGGGGCGCTGCGGGGAGGCCCGAGAAAGGGAGGCAGACAGGCAGGCAGAGGCAGGCAGAGGCCGGCAGAGGCCGAGCCGGAGCTCGAGCGGCCCGCGCAAGCCGCCGCTGGCACCGGCGGGCATCACACCTGAAGAACCGGCGCGCCGGGGCACGGCCGCTCGCCTCCCGCCACCCGGAGCCGCGGGCTGCGCGCAGCCGAGCCGAGCCGGGCCTGCCTCGTCCGCTAAGCCATATCCAAGCCACGACACCCAGCCCAGTCCCGCCATCCGTCCGAGGCGGCCCCAGCAGCCTCACCTTCCTTGTCGGCCATGGCGGGCAGCAGAACCAGGGGTAGATCCTGGGGTCGAGCGCGGCGGGAGGGGCGGGGAGGCAGCGAGCGCTCACTCGGCGCGCGCGGCCTCTATTGTTTCCTGCGGCCCCTGCGAAGAGTCCCGACTCGCGCCCCTTCGCGCCAACAGCAGCCAATCAGAGCGCGCCGATCGGCGGCGTGGGCGGGGAAAGGCCGCCGGTAGCCTATCGGCTCGCGCGGAGTCGTTCCTCGCGGGGCCGAAGAGCGCTCTCCACCGCTGTCCCCCACCGCCCGGGGGAGATTTTTACCATTGCGCGCGCGCGCATAGTTGCGGGGGGGAGCGGGTTGTACTCGTCTTTAGTCACGTGAGAATCTCAGCTCGCGCCCGCCCGGGGCCGCCATTTTCTTTAATGCTGTTAAGCGTAAGACCCCTTGAGAAAAGCATTGAGATGAGAAATTTAAGGGACTTTGACGTCTTCTTATCAACTCGGGGGACCGAGGCGGAAAGAAAGGCCCGGCCGTCACACCTAGAGGTGTCTAAGGTGTCCGTCAACTAGTTTCCTTCGTATTTAGAAAACACTTAGTGAAAAGCGCCGAAGACTAGGCCGTGGCTTTGATACGGGGATCCGGGCAGCAGGGCCCTGGGTCAGCACACCACGAGCTTAGGGACGCCCATGAATTCTGAGAATTGGAGTCCTGGTTCTTTAAGGATGCGGGCCAAGGGGGCGGGGTGTAAAGCGGAAGTTGTAATGTAAGGGTCGAAGCCGGCAGGTTTTGGGCGGAAGGAGTGTGTCCAAATCTGGCAGTCATGGCGCAGGGCGAGGAAGATGTTAGAGATTACAATTTGACTGAAGAGCAGAAGGCGATCAAGGCCAAGTATCCTCCAGTCAATCGGAAGTACGAGTGTGAGTAGGCGGCTCATTTCCCTCTCCAGAGCCAGGCACACGGGCGCCCCCTTCCTCCCTGCGCCTTTGCCCTGTGGGTGCCTCAGGCGTGTGCCCGTTGCCCTCAGGAGCGTCTCTTTTCTGCTCTTCCCAGCATATGCTGGAGAAAAACAGAACAAAACAAAAAACCTTGCAGGCTTTTGAGAGTCGGGAAGCTTTGGGATCCCGCATACTGGTGCCCGATCCCATGCTCCTGGTGGATGTTAGCTGTGTTAGAGTGGGGTTTAGCCGGGTTCGAGGACCCGGGGAGCTGAGTAGTTTCTCACTTGGAGGTGTCCCCGGCCTATCTATAGACAGCCTTAGTCTTTGCCATTTACTGTTTCAGTGATTCTAAGTAAATGTAACTGTATTTGTGTCTCAGTTACTGTATTAGATGACTAAGTAATGGATGTGAAGGTGTAGTGCAGACTTGTAGCGCAGCTAATCAAGCTGCTTCCTGCCGCGCGGGCGTTTCCCGCGATTGCTCTGCTTTGGAGCCTGCCCCTTGCTCAGCACCGGGAAAGCACGTCCCGCCTTCCCTGAGGGTGACTCCCCTGGAGTCCCTGGCTCCCGGCCTGCTCCTCGCCCAGCTCTGTCCCATCTCCCTCCTTCACTCCGCCTCCCCCTCTTTCTAACTGCCTACCTAAATACATAAATCATAAAAGCAAAACAAGAGTTAAGGTCATCTCTAAAAGTGCCTGTTACCTGGGAAGCAAGAATCTGTCTTTATTTTCTCTGAATTTTGATTTCCTGGTGTCAGGGTGGTGGCAGCGGGTACAAGGTAATTCACCTGTGGCGTTGGCATCCCATCAGGGTGCCGGTTTGTGTCCCGGCTGCTCCACTTCTAATCCAGGGTGCTGCTTGTGGCCTGGGAAAGCAGTGAAGGATGATCCAGGGCCTTGGACCCTACGCTTCCATGGGAGACCCGGAAGAAGCTCCTGGCTCCTGGCTTTGGATCAGCTCAGTTCCAGCTGTTGTGGCCACTTGGGGAGTGAACCAGTGGACGGAAGATCTTTCTGTTTCTCCTCTGTAAAATCTAACCTGCCTTTCCAATTAAAACAAAACAAAACAAAACAGAAGCCAGGAATCAGGAGCTTCTTCCAGGTCTTCCATGTGGATGAAGGGATCCAAGCTCTTAGACCATTGGCAGGGAGCTGGACTGTAAGAGGAGCATCCGGGACTCAAATTGGCTCCCATATGAATGCGGTTGTCACAGACAGCGGCTTTACCTGCTACAGCACAGCACCAGCCTGTTCGCAGTACAGTTTTATTATTATAAGTTAAGTTGAATGGAGTTCAGTATCTTTAGAGCTTTTTCTATTTCTCCTTTTGGGGTGTATATGTTCCTGTTTTTAATACTTTCTTGTCTTTTGTTGTTTTTTTAATATGTAGAAGTTAGTATTTATATTTTGTAATGTATTATCCCTGTCTGTGGTATGTAGGATGTTAATTGAGGAAGGCCTTGCAGACTCAGAGATGGTAAACTCTCACGTGCTTTCTTCTATATGTTTGGCCATAACATTTCTTTTTTTTTTTTTTTAAAGATTTATTTTTATTAGAAAGGCGGATATACAGAGAGGAGAGACAGAGAGGAAGATCTTCCGTCTGATGATTTACTCCCCAAGTGAGCGCAACGGGCCGATACTATGCCGATCCGAAGCCAGGAGCCTCTTCCGGGTCTCCCACGCGGGTGCAGGTTCCCAAAGCTTGGGGCCGTCCTCGACTGCTTTCCCAGGCCACAGGCAGGGAACTGGAAGGGAAGCGGGGCTGCCGGGATTAGAACCGGCGCCCATATGGGATCCTGGGCGTGCAAGGCGAGGACCTTTAACCACTTGCGCCACCGCGCCAGGCCCCCATAACATTTCTTTTAAAATTTTTATTTATTTTTGTTGCAAAGGTAAATATACAGAAAGTAGGAGACACAGAGAAAAAGATCTTCTGTCTGCTGGTTCACTCTCCAAATGGCTGCAAGGGCTGGTTCTAAGCCAATCTGAAGCCAGGAGCTTCTTCCAGGTCTCCCACTTGGGTGCAGGATCCCAAGGCTTTGGGCCATCTTCAACTGCTTTCCCAGACTGTAAGCAGGAACTGGATGGGAAGTGGAGCATCTGGGACTCGAACCAGTGTCCATGTGGGATCCTGGTGCTTCTGAGTGGAGGATTAGCTGATGGAGCCATTATGTTGGGCCCTGAACTAGTTAGTCTTATGAAATGCCAGCTTTTCCTCGAAAGGCTGGCTGAAAGCCATCCTGTGGTTACTAAGTTATTTAGCAGGTATTTTCTTGAAAATAATCAAAGTAATCTATCACATCAAGGAAGTAACTTATAGGATTTGCTGGTTATGATAAAATTTAGGCTTTTAAGTGTAATCAGACATAGATAAGATCCATTCTGAGATTATAATAGATTGATGACTTTTAATATATGGCGTATGAAAAGTTCATTGTTGTGGCATCCAAGACCACATTGCAACTAATCTTTAAATAAACACCCTGTTTAATCTCTTTTTAAAAAGATTTATTATTTATTTGAAAGTCAGAATTACACAGAGAGGCAGAGAGGGAGAGAGGGAGAGAGAGCTCTTGTATTGACTGGTTTGCTCCTGTTGTAGCCAGAACTGATCCAGACTTTAGCCAGGAGCCAGGAGCTTCCCTGTGGGTGGCAGAGCTCGGCGCTTGCAGCATCTTCCACTGCTTTTCCCAGAGCATTAGCAGGGAGCTGGATGTGCATGACTCGCTCCCACGTGAGATGCTGGCATTGCACATGGAAATTTTACCTGCAAAACCCTAACACTGGCCCTGGGGCTTATTCTCTTTAAATGAGCTAATAAGTGTTCAAAATTTTTTTTTCAGTTAAATATTCTAATCTGATTAATAACAGTTGTAACCCTGTGAACAAAGGCTCACTGTGATCCTCAATAATTTTTAAGAGAAATAGATTCCTGAAGCCAGAAATAAAAAATGAGAATCACTGTCCTACATCAATGTCATTTGAAAAGGTATTGTCTTTTTAACCTGATTTTAAAGATGTAAACGTCCCTAAGTGCCCAATGTTTTTTCTTCTTGTTCTTGTTTTATAAAGATTTATTTTAAAAATTTACTTATTTTTGTTGGAAAGTCAGATTTACAGAGAGAAAAATCTTCCACCTGTTGATTGATTCACTCCCCAAATAACTACAACAGCCAGAGCTGAGCCAACCTGAAGCCAGGAGCCAGGAGCTTCTTCCGGGTCTCCCATGTGGGTGCAGGGTCTGGAATCATTGAGCCGTCCTCAGCTACTTTCCCAGGTCAAAAGCAGGGAGCTGGAAGGGAAGTAGAGCAGCTGGCTTACATACGGCACCCATATGCGATCCCAGTGCGTGCAAGGTGAGGATTTTAGGCACTAGGCCACTGCCCCAGGTCCAACTTATTTATTTATTTTTTTGAAAGTCAGATTTTATAGAGAGAAGGAGAGACGGAGAGATCTTCCGTCCACTGACTGACTTCCCAAGTGGCCACAATGACTGCAACTGATCTGATGCATAGCCAGGAGCCTCTTCCGGGTCTCCCACGTGGGTGCAGGGTCCCAAGGTCTTGAGGCATCCTCTACTACTTTCCCAGGCCACAAGCAGGGAGCTGGAAGGGAAGTAGAGCAGCCAGGACAGGAACCAGTGCCCATATGGGATCCTGCTCCATACAAGGTGAGGACTTCAGCCAGTAGGCTATAGCGCTGAGCCCGTTTTTGATTTGTTTTGTTTAAGTTTATTTATTTTTGTTGGAAAGGCATATTTTACGGAGAGAAGGAGAGGCAAAAAGATCTTCTGTCTACTGCTTCATTCCCCAAGTGGCTGCAGTGACTGAAGCTGAGCTGTTTTGAATCCAGAACCTAGGAGTTTCTTCCGGGTCTCCCACATGGATACAGGGTCCCAAGGCTTTGGGCCATCCTCGACTGCTTTCCTAGGGCATAGATAGGGAGCTGGATGGGAAATGGGGCAGCTGGAACAATAACCGGTGCCCATATGGGACCTCAGTGTGTTCAAGATAAGAATTTAGCCACTGGGTCATTGCACCAGACCCTAAGTGCACAGTGTTAAGAGGTAAAGTCCAGTGAGTTTTGATAGAAGATAGATGTTTGCCAATCCTCAGAGCATTCCCACCGTCCCAGACAAGTCTGTTTTGTACTTTACAGCCAACTCCCCATACCTTGAAATCAACACTGCTGTATTTTCTGTT